AAGTAGTTTGACAACCTGCTACTTATGATGTCATATCTTGTAACCATAGTAACTGCCATCACCAAACTTGCCTCAAAATGTGTGCAACGCCCTCCCCCCCCACCTCACCCCCTTGTATGTCCAAGGGTTGAGTGAAGTACCTGATCAGTTTGTGAGTGTTATACGTCGGTAAGAAGGTGTGGGTTCCGCTCGACTTGGGAATGATAATGTTTCAGATTTAAGAAGCCGTGCATGACAAGTACTGTACCTTTAATTATATTGGGTTTTTACCTCTTTGCTGCGTAAATCACCCGTCCATGGTCAACCATTATTCGTACATCGTATTGCTAACGATAGGATTTTCCTTTTCGTTGCGTTGTCGGGAAACACATCCTGTAATATAGTATAATCAGAAACAAAGTTAAACGAAGTACTCTAGCTCATTTCCTATGTGATATGAAACTGTCGAACATGTGGACACCCATACTTCTTTGTGTATTATTATTACTATTATTATTATTACTATTATTCGAAGATGAGCTTGCTGCGAACTGCTGAGGTAAAAACTTAACTCTCCCGAAGGCTATTTAACAGTTTTTGTGTGCGACTCAGTCTTGTTCAAGGAGCGGCTCCTGCTTGTTCTAAAAGCTTTTAAAAAACATTTCACACGCTCATCAGCTCATTTTCGATTGTGTGTAGTATTACCTTGTATGTACATATAATAGAGAATACACAAGACTAAAACACATTACTGAGACGTAAAAGATAAGAAAGTAAATGGAAGTTATTTACCTGGTATCGGTCCTAGCCTCTGCTATCTGCCGGGCAATTGTATGACTGGTTCTGATCTTCTTGCCTGTCTTTTTTGTTGTTGTTGTTGGTTTCTTCAGTATAAGAAAAAATTACAATAAACAGATAAATATATTTAGTATATACACACTCAGTGATCTTGGTGATTTAAGCAATCTGATTGGTTCGCTATCTCGGACTATTCAACAATATTCACCTCCTAGCGAGTGGATAATGTGTGAGCTCGGTGTTTTTCCCCTTTTTTTAGAGAACAATCTTTTAAAAGTCGACAAAATCCTAGCGCTGACTTTTTGAAAGGCAAGAAAAGACTTGGAAGGATTCAATACGGCGTTTTTCAATTTACTGTAGCTGAGTTTTGTGCTCGATGGATTGTTTACAACTCCCGTGTATTCGCGTAGAAGAAGCCGTTTCGTGAACTCAGCGTTTTCTAAGAAGAAAATTTTGGCTCAAAAATCGAAGTTCATTTATGACAAACAAATTTAAAAGGAAATGTTTGCAGACATTCTACGTTTCAAGTTAACGGGAAAAAGAATGATACAGGAAGACGACGTCTTACCTCGAGCAACCGAGCCGGCCATTGTTGTTAGCACTTCATGCGAAGAACGACACAACAAGCCCTTTTGGCTATAAACTTGGCTAGTCAACAGAAAAAAACAAAGCTCCACTTTTCTTCTCAGGTAAGCTGACAGTTCAAACTTTTAGCGGTTCCATTTAAGCCATTACGCTGTTGTTTGCGAAATGATAAGCTTGTGAATTGCCATGTTTGAAAATTCTGCAAAGATCTATTTTTAAACTTACGCGTGATTTGATCTGTCAATCAAATTGTACTTTTTAATGGTTCCCTCTCTGATTTTGTTGAGATCACTTCGTGTGTATATACTAAAACAATTATTCTTTTCAATCTCGGTGAATAGTGGCTTTGGGAATATTTACCTCGCCGCTTTCGCGGCTCGGCAAATATTTTGCCACTATTCACCTCGATTTCAAAGAATAATTGTTAACTATAAAGAGATGAAAAAATTAAATAATATATGTATAAATAGATTGATAGCTAAACATGCATATTGTTTTTTGTTCACAAATTGTGACTGAATAAATAAATGTGACGTTTTTATTGGTCAGGTCACAAGAACCAGATTATCGGCATATACAGTAGTCTATCTTACATGTACGTACCGGGAAGCGGCCTTCTGTTCCAAACTATTCAACTTTAAATCACCCTTTTTAAACACTCTTTTTACTATGAATAATTCTTCTTACAATGAATAAGTTTGCAATCAGGTTTATCTGTGAAATCAATGAAAAACTATAATAATCTATGTTTAATTTTCCTTTTGTCAAATCATATCCAGTGGTAACACAAGTAACTACAGTTTTACTCACTTCCTTAGGGACTGACTGGAGACAGTCCCATCTAGGCGACAACATTGCAATGTTGTTGCTATTTTCAGTAATCTTTCAAAAGGAGTTTCTAATTCCAAGTTACATTATACTGCTGAGGGAACTAACTGTGGCATTGGTGTTAACAATGCCATTCTCTGCACAAAAATATTTTCAATTGGTGTATTCCTCTCAGTTTGTAATCATCATTACAATGAACTGTGCATGTGTTGTCTTCAAAACTCTCGGTACTTAGAGTAAAACCGGGAGGAGGAAGGACACCTTTTTACATCATTCCGTGTTACCGCTGTTTCTTTCACTGCACCTACCCCTTCATTATATTTGGAGATCTTGCAGCCACATAATCTTTCAAGTTTACTCATTCAGGGAATGGGTAACCACTGTAAAATACAGTTAACATTTGTTGCTCTTGGAGGTCCATTAACCTTGGGTTTTTCTTGCTCTCACTGTGCACCGCTGAGTAGCCTTCAAGAATAATGAACATAACACTAACTCACAATTATTATTAGTACCCCAGTAAGAGTATAATTTATAAATAGACTAAATAATACTGCAAAGCTTCACTGCTAAGAAAACCTGTTTTGTCTTCAATATGAAGAAAATAATTTGATTTAATGACTGATTATTCTACAAAACTCACTACTTAAACAATATTCGAAAGTAAAAATCATTTTATTCTTCAATGTGCACATGCTTGCAATGACTGACAAAAGAAGGAAGAATCATCCTTGATGGGCAGCAGTGGCAGGCGGGTGAGTTAGTGTCCTATCTCTTGCTCGTATCAGTGACACTTTTCCAGTTTTTGCAGTGAATAACACAAAAGTACAAGAATATAGAAGGCTGTAGAGAGTAACAAAATGAAGAAACTTCTGGTGATCTTACCTGCTGTCTTTCCCTTTTTGGCTGCTGCACCCACGTTGCCTGCTGATTTCTTGGTAGTTTTTGTAGAGGCAGAGGGCTTTTTTTTGTCTGAGCTGTTGGTCTCCCAAACTTTGCACTCTTCAATGTTCTTGATGTATAGGATTAATTATGAAAAGTATCAAACTATCAGCCAGTGAAAGCCAACGGACATTTTAAAACAAAACTTAATGATAAAAATGTATAACTGATGAATCAAATGAACATGGTTTGCTGAGATGTATATGGTATGGAAAATGTAAATGTGCAGAAGTACATGTAAATTTATAAGATTTACCTTTAAGATCTTAAAAGTGTCTCAGATTATTGTCAAAAAAGAGGTGCACAAGGAATGTGTTAATTAAATTAAGACATTATACCTACAAGTCGTTCGAGTTTGAGGCATCTTTATTTTTATAGCAATCATGGACCCCAAAAGCATGCACAAAAATCCATACTGGAGCTTGTAGTGTTAGTAGTTTCTCTTAAGCTTGATAATCCTGCTTTGGCAACTTCATTATGGCTGGCTTTACTAGACATTGTTTCTGCTATTATTTTATTCTTGCTTTTTACAAAGTTTCATTGTCGCCAGAGACCAAGGAAAACAAATCTTGTTCCTAATGAAAAAGCAAAAGACTTGGGGTGATGAAGAATACCTTGAAAGAGCTTTCCTCTTGTTCATAATTAATTGAATAAGGGATGAATGGTTTTGGGACCTGGGGCCCATTTCTCAAAAGTCCCGGTAGTTGACGGGCTGTTAACTTATGCGGACTTTTATCAGGCCCGAAGTTGTGTTTCTCGAAGCACATGTCAACTTTCCCAGTACTTACCAGGCTCAAAAAAATAGTGGGCTGTTACCAGACTCTTGCGTGGGCACTTCACGGTCGTCCGCTGGAGAAAGAGAACGAGTTGGAACTCTATTTCATTCGAATCATTCGCTTTGTGCGAGCGGACTGTTTTTTTTGCATTTCGATTCAAAGGACAAGGCAACACGTTTTAAGTTTAACTTTGAGGTCGTCATTGTTTCAAAGGAGAGCAACCAGTCATCATGAGTAGACATATAACAGTGGAAACTGGGCAACACATAGACTGAAAAACCAACTCTTGTAAATAATGTTTACAGAAAAAATGTCTTTTAATGCTAACATGTGCTTAATATGTATCAAATGAAACGCAGGTGTAAACACAACCTTATGATGAACAATTAGAACCATTTGCAAAATGTCCTCTTTCAGTTTAAACAAAAAACTAGCCATTTAAAGACAGAAACCGAAAAACTATTGTGACCAAAAAACTGGAATTAAATTAAACAAAGGAAAACTTTATTGAACAGAAAGTATTTTTTAACTTATACAATTATAAAATGAGCCTTTATCCTTGTATCGAGTGTGGAAATGAAGTTCGACCATGCCAGCAAGCCATTCAGTGTGAAGCCGTTCAGTGTGAAGCCCTTCAGTGTTGCACCCTGTTTAGCATGAAACATTCAATGATCAAGGAGGATATTTGTTAGGATATTTGTTATCATTACCATAAACCTTCAGGGTTTGTTTTCTTGGCAAATTAATATGGTCGATTGATGTTAAGCCACACTCTCTTACCAAATAACAATTTATTTGCATAAAAAAGGAAAGTCCAATTTTGTCCTACAATAATATTTTGACTTGATTAAATTAGAAAATAACCTTACCTGACCACATTATTTATAAGTTCACTCCTGACTGATAATCCAACTGCATTATTGTCAGGGATGAGTTCACATGGATCTGCAGAGGCCATGTTTTGCTGTGGTGGGTAGTCAGCGTTGACTGGCAGTGCCATATTGTCAACAAGACACATACTGTGCAAAACTGCAGTTGCTGTTATGATAGTACAACAGTTTCTTGGTTTGAACTGTAGTGATCCACCAGAAACATCTAAACATCTAAACCTTGTCTTCCACAGGCCAAGGGCCCTCTCGATGGTGTTTCGTCTTTTTGGTATGGGCCTTCTGGTTTTTGGCCTGACCCGCTGGGGACCCCCATTTCTGGGCGAAATGGGGTCATCAGGTATGGTTGAATGCCATAACTCCTGTCTCCTAAGAGCCACCCATTTCTATCCCCTCCATTTTCCATGTGCACTTGCAAGGCACTTGAGTGAAAAACTGCTGAATCATGAACAGAACCGTGCCACTTACTCAAAAAATTTGTAGGTAACAGTTGTGCATTGCACACTGCCATAACATTAATCGCATGAAAGCCCTTGTGGCAGACATAGAGGTGCTCCTCATTGTCTGGACCCTTAATTGCAATTAATGAGCCATCAATTGCCCCAATCACCCTCAGAAAACCAGCTATGCTGTTGAAATCAGCTATAGTTTTCTGAAAGAAATGAAAAAATAGGACACTAGGTTCAAACCCCATGTACCTCTTTCTGGGTAACCGCTATAATTCGACCTACAAGGTTTACTGGAATCAATAGCACTGTACAACAATGGAATGGAAAATTCGAGAAAATATGCATACTCTACAATGGGAGGGGGGGAGCAGGGTGGGGGATTCAAAATTGGTGAAGACTGGGAGAAATTCCTTTATTGCTGGTTAGTTGTATTTTCATGAGCAGAAATGATGCCACCCTTGGTAGGCTATGGAAATTTTCTGAAATTACGCCTATTAAAATGCCACCAATAGACTCTTACACTTATCTCCGCTGTTGATGATGTGGGGAATGTGATCCATTCTGGAGCAAAATTTGCCAGACAATGTGAAACAGACATCAGCGACCCACTGATGCTTGCCTTTGAGATTCCCAATGTGTCACCAATAACCGTCAAGAAACTTCCGGTGGCATAGTATCGGAGTGCTGCCAAAACCTGAAAGCCATTATGTCACTTTAAAATGGTTTGCCAATTTGTTCAAAATTCTAATGAAGTTATAGCAAAAGAAATGTATTTTCCAACGGCAGATATGAACTGCAAGTGAGCGCCATTTTTTCTTCCTGTATACCATGCCCCTAGCTACAGATAAGCAGTTTGCTCTAGACTCGAGACTTCAACTATGAATTTCTCATACTTGATTTCAAGAGACAACTGGACTTTTCATTATCAGAAAACATTATGTGTGATCTACATATACACCACTTCCATAAAACTAACAATACGAATGAATTTAAACTGGTGATAAATGATACATAACTGATGATAGATCACTATTCTTGATATAAAAAGTGTCCCAGACTTAATAGGAACCTCACAAACTTGATTAAATTTAACCTACGTCCTTTTTTAGACGTGACGTGTGATCTATATCACGCCAAAAAAGTCGTAAAGAAAACGAATTTAATGTCTCTGTTGTGAAGAAATCTAACTCGGCCAAAGCTGTTCTGATTGCAGTATTTAGACAGACAAGTCACTCCCAGGATTCAACACAGCCTGAACAGTGCCAGTGTTGTAAACTTGGTCACCACTTAACCCTACGCAAATCATGTGGTTCCAACTGGCACAACTGTCACAACAAATCCAGTTGACTGAGTCACCTACAAAACCAGAGGGTTCTTCTTTTTGGCAAGTAGCACAACATTCTGATTCTGTGGCCCCTGTCTGTTTTGCTTGCTGCTTCTCACCTTGTGCCATTGACTTCTTTGATTTAAACTGTGTAGTTTTACCTTTTCTTGAAGCCTGCAAAACAGGTGTCGAAATGAAAGTGGGAGGGCAAGGAAAAGGAAGAGCAGATAGGGAGAGGAAAGGTACACCTGCCATAAGAACTACCTCCTGTTCATTTCTGCAGTCGAAAAATTCTGATTTGCTGAGACCCATAATTAACATTTTCACACCAAGTCATAATTATTCCGAGGTCAGATTTCCAACACCCCCACCCAGCCCTGTTTATAAAACATTGTATAGGCCTATAGGGCTTGTCATTGGGATTTTGCAGTATTCATCGATTTTTGGTAAACAAAAATAAAATAACCAAGAGGTGTGCAAAACCTTGTTCTTATTGGTGAATGGGTTGACAGTTAATTGACCGTCAATGTAATCAGACCACAAAAAATTTGTTGGGCACAATGCAAAAAATGGGTTCTTGTACCAGGTGTGCCTCTCCCTTTTTTCTTTTACATCCACCCGCTCTCCCCTTTTTGTGCCCACCAGGCTTTACAATTCAAACACAAGATATTCACAAACTATAAAAACTCAACATCTTTTGATGGTGCCATTAACAGGTGTTCCACTGGAACAATTATTCCTTTTTCTTATTCTCCATTAAAGCCATCAAGATTTTGTTCTGCTGTTGCTGCTGTGTAATAAGCATTGCTTGCCAGCTTTGTTGTTGCTCCAGCAGAAAATGTTATGCAGAATATCAATTGTATCACTTGTGCTTCTTCTTACCTTCTTCCTTTCATTGCCTCTATCCGATTCATCATTCTCCCTTTTTTTAGTATCAGCCATTCTTTCCTCACTTCTTCTGCTGTTGTCTTTTCCTTTCTGCCTTTTTATTTTTCTCAAGATCCTGCGACTCAATTTTAGCTTTATCATCCTTTTCTCTCTAAAATTTCTTCAAGCAAACTATCCAGTTCGGATATTTCCACATGAATTCCTGACGCTTTCTCCTCGTCCCTCAATTTTTGGGCTTGCTTTGCAGTCAAGAAAGAGTACCTGTGACGGACAGGTCTGGCGGAGACTCTGAACTTTGTCTGGTCAATGGCATTCAGTCGCTGGGCAATAGCTTCCCAAACCTAAGAACTTCATAACACATGATGACATTGTGCTCCGTTGACCACTGAAAATATGATGATAGAAAAATAGAACTTTAGGGCCAAATTTTAAGCAACCTTAAGCAACAATTTACTTCACTAATAGCTGATGTAAATTATCGGCAAAGTACCGACAAATGGCATCTAAAAAGCCCTGATACTTACCCTTTCTTCGTAGTGTCTTGCAATGAAGACATGTTGGATTTCCAGGAAAAAATACACTCGTCAATGGCGCATTCACAGAATAACTTAATATATAGATTTAGCCACAGCTAAAAGCGAAGCTCCCATTGATAAATTTATAACTTAAATCAAACAATAATTTTGTATTCCACAAATCAGTTAACTTAAGGGCACATTCATGTGACTTTTGAGGGAAAAGCTAAGTGATTTTGGAGTAAAACAAATCTTGTATCGAATTGATATAGCCTTATATGTACACCCAAAAAATAGTCTTCGGTCACATTTAAGAGCAGTAATGGCTCTTGATCACAGTAGATAAGGCGTGGAAAACAAATTCTTGGAAAACAAATCAGGCCGAATTTTTTTGCGTTCGACAAGTTTACAAATTCTTGCCAATAAATCTGGGTGCGTGTAAACCATTCTTTTATTTTTTTTTATACACCACATCTGAGGAGAAAGAGTACTATGAGGCGCTTATCATACAGACCTCGTACAAAATGGAGTATTTCACAATTTTTCAAGACAAATTGCATTCATTCAATTGCTCAGGACCATCGAAGCACGCGTGGGCTTTTAATTGGTGAAACCATTCAAAAAATGTCCAAAAACACCTACACATCCAGCCGGTTCTAACTTTGGACAAGCGACAAATTTGCGAAGAAATTTGAAGAGTTACGCTTCAACGTGATAAAGAATTTATTGCGTCTATTTTTTATTAATGGTTTTATAACGATGTGAGTACTCCTGCAAGCGATGTTTATGAATGCCTGAAAACAAACGGCAAAGCGATGAAAATTACACTTTTGAGACTACCAACAATCAATAAAGAAACATAATTCGGTAGGACATTTACAGAGACAACAATTTTCATTCACGAAAACAAATGAGTATTTAATTGTCTCTAAGAATCCTCAAGTCTTTACTAGTAAGCTTAAAGATAAAGTTTATGTTTTAAGCCGCCGGTTTCCTGGTGTTTGCTTTTTTCAAAGATGAACTCACGACAAGAAAATCGCTCAAAGCTTTCTTTCTACAGCCAAAACTATAACTAAATATTCTTTGGAAAGTTTTTTCTTTCTATTTACGGTGAATTAATATCGACTAAAGGCGTTTTAAAGTTCTGTAAGCTTAAGCTTATATCAAACCTCATACTAGGTCAGATGAGTGTCTCAATTAAATCTTAATACAAACGTGCATAAACTAGCTTCATAAACTGCGCCACTAGACTTCATAAAATTAGATATAAATACAATAATTACTCAGGCTTACCATACTTCGAGATGCAGCTCCTGAAAGCTATCAAGTAAGGCAAGGATCGCTTGAGCCTTTATAATTCTCGTACGCATCCAGCAAGGTGAAAAACAAAAACGATGCCATCCGAAATCGGATTATCGGCTTTTAGAAGCGACGCATTT